ACTGAAACTCTATATATCTATTAAACATTAACTTCCTATCTCCCCTCTCCATAACCTCTGGCCACCACCATTCTACTTTCTGTTGCTATGAAATTGACCATTCTAGGTACTTCATATAAGTAGAATCATACAGTATTTGTCCTGTTATAACTGGCTTCTTTCACTTAGCATGTCTTCAAGGTTCATCCACATTGTAGCACGTGTAGCAGGTGTCAGAATTTCCTTCCTTTTTAAGACTGAATAATAATCCTTTGTATGTATCATATTTTGTTCATCTATTCATTCATCAATGGACACCTATGTTGCTTCTGCCTGTTGTGAATAATGCTGTTATGCTAGTTAATCTTACTAATGGTTTGTCAATTTTGTTAATCTTTCCAAAGAACTAACTCTTTGTTTTGTTGCTTTTTCTCTATTTTTTATTACCTGTTTTTATCTCCGTTCTAATCTTTAATATATCCTTCCTTCTGCTACCTTTCTGTTTAGTTTGTTTCTTTTTTCTAGTTCCCTAAGATGACTAGTTAGGTGTTGACTTAAGACCTTTTTTCCTTTTTAATGTGCTTACAGCTATAAATTTCCCTCTTAGCCCTGCTCTTGCTGCATCCCATAAGTTTATGTTGAATTTTTATTTTCAGTTGTCTCAAGATATTTCCTGATTTCCCTGTTATTACTTCTTTGAATCATTAGTTGTTTTTAAGAATGTGTTAATTTCCACATATTTCTGGAATTTGAAATGTGAATTTTTGTGTTCTTTCTGCTGTTGGTTTCTAGTTTCATTCTGTTGTGATTGGAAAAGATACATTGTATGATTTCAGTCTTTAAAATTATTAAAATTTGTGTTGTGGCTTAACATATGATCTGTCCTGGAGAATATCCCATGTGTATAAATTTGCGAAAAATGTGTATTGTGTTATTGGATGAACTGTTCTATATATATTTGTTAGGTTCATTTGCTCTATAGTGTTGTTCAACTCTAAATCTAGGTCTTTTCATTGGGGAGTTTAATCCATTTACATTTAAAGGAATTACTGATGGGGAAACATTTACTTTGGTCATTTTGTTATTTGTTTTCTCTATGTTTTATAGCTTTTTTCTCCCACATTTCCTCCATAACTATTTTCCTTTGTATTTAGTTGCTTTTTATAGTGACAAGTTTTAATTCCCTTTTCATTTTTTTGTGTGTATATTCTATAAATATTTTCATTGTGGTTACCATGGAGATTACAAATACTGTCCTAAAGTTATGACATTCTATTTTATATTGGTGCCAACTAAACTTCAACCACACACAAAAACTACTCCTTTATAGCTTCACCTCCCTGTATGTTATTGATGTCACAAGTCAAATCTTTATATGTTGTGTCCTCGTTAATATAGATTAGTAATTATTTTCAGCATTTGCCTTTTGAGTCCTGTAAAAAAGAAGTAGATTTATAAATTAAAATTAGAACAATACTGGTTTTTATATTTTTTAAAAAGATTTTATTTATTTATTTGACAGAGATACAGAGCCAGAGAGCACAAGTGGAGGGAATGGCAGAAGGAGAGGCAGAAGCAGGCTCCCCACTGAGCAGGGAGCCCAACGTGGGGCTTGATCCCAGGACCCTGGGATCACGACCTGAGCCAAAGGCAGACACTCAACCATCTGAGCCACCCAGGCACCCCTACAATTTTCTTTTTTTTTTAAAGTAGTTTCAAGAGGTAGTATTTAATGATTCATTACTTGCATATAACACCCAGTGCTCATTACATCAAGTGCCCTCCTTAATGCCCATTACCCAATTACCCCTTCCCCCCACCCACCTCCCCTCCAGCAACCCTCAGTTTGTTTTCCTGGAGTACAGCATCTCTTATGGTTTGCTTCCCTCTCAGTTTTCATCTTATTTTATTTTTACTTCCCTTTCCCTATGTTCATTTGTTTTGTTTCTTAAATTCCACATATCAGTGAGTCATATGGTATTTGTCTTTCTCTGACTGACTTATTTTGCTCAGCATACTAGTTATATCCACATTGTTGTGAATGCAAGATTTCATTCTTTTTGACATTTACCTTTACTAGAGAACTTTGTATGTTCCTATGGCTTCAAGTCACTGTCTAGCATCTTTTCATTTTAACTTGAGGGACTCTATGTAGTATTTCTCATAAGTCAAGTCTAGTGGTATCAAACTCCCTCAACTTTTATTTTTCTGAGAATGTCTTAATTTCTCCCTCATTTTTTGAAGGACAGTTATGCTGGATGTAGAATTCTTGGTGGATAGTTTGTTTTTTTTTCCTTCAGCACTTTGAATGTATCATCCTTCTGTCACTGCCCTGCAAATTCCTGGAGAGATAGCCACTGGTGGTCTTATTGGGGATCATTCATACATATCAAGTTTGCTTTTCTCTTGCTCCTGTCAAGAATCTCTTTTTGTCTTCAGCTCTGACAGTTTGATTGTAATGTGTCTTGGTTTGGGCTCTTGGTTAATGCTACTTGGAGTTCACTGAAGATTCTTGGATTTGTATATCCATGTCTCCTCAAATTTGAGAGGTTTCCAGCCATTAATTCTTCAAATAATCTCTCTGCCCCTTTGCTTTCTTCTTTTTGGGATTTCTGCAATGAGTGTATTTATCTGCTTACTGATGTTGTGTATGTCCCTCAGGTTCTATTCACTTTTCCCCATTCTCTGTCTCTTTTTGCTCTACAGACTGAATAATTAAAATGACTTGTCTTCAAGTTATCCCATTCGAACTTCTATGGTGAATTTTTCTTTTAAATAATTTTTTATTGTTATGTTAATCACCATACATTACATCATTAGTTTTTGATGTAGTGTTCCATGATTCATTGTTTGTGCATAACACCCAGTGCTCCACGCAGAATGTGCCCTCTTTAATACCCATCACCAGGCTAACCCATCCCCCCACCCCCTCCCCTCTAGAACCCTCAGTTTGTTTTTCAGAGTCCATCGTCTCTAATGGTTCATCTCCCCCTCCGACTTACTCCCCTTCATTCTTCCCCTCCTGCTATCTTCTTCTTCTTCTTCTTTTTCTTAACATATATTGCATTATTTGTTTCAGAAGTACAGATCCGTGATTCATCAGTCTTGTACAATTCACAGTGCTATGGTGGATTTTTCTATTCAGATATTGTATTTTTCAGCTCCAGAAATCCTGTTTAGTTTTTTTATACTTTCTCTTTATTGATATTTTTCACTTTGCTGATATAGCCTCTTCCTGATTTCTTTGTCCATGTTTTCTTTAGCTCTTTGAGCATATATATATATGGCAGTTTGTTTTAAAATCTTTGTCTAGTAAGTCCAGCATGTGTTCTTTAGAGACTGTTTCTAGAGATTTACTTTATCCTTTTGAATGAGCTGTGTTACCCTGTTTCTTTGCCTTGTGTTTGTTGTTGTTGTTGTTGAAAATTGTATGTGCATCCCAATGTTTATAGTAGCAATGTCCACAATAGCCAAACTGTGGAAAGAGCCAAGATGTCCATTGACAGATGAATGGATAAAGAAGATGTGGTATATATACACAATGGAAAATTATGCAGCCATCAAAAGGAATGAGATCTTGCCATTTGCAACAACGTGGATGGAACTGGACGGTGTTATGCTGAACGAAATAAGTCAATCAGAGAAAGACATGTATCATATGACCTCACTGATATGAGGAATTCTTAATCTCAGGAAACAAACTCAGGGTTGCTGGAGTGGTGGGGCGTGGGAGGGATGGGGTGGCTGGGTGATAGACATTGGGGAGGGTATGTGCTATGGTGGGTGCTGTGAATTGTACAAGATTGTTGAATCACAGATCTGTACCTCTGAAGCAAATAATGCCATATATGTTAAGAAAAAAAAAAGATAGGACGGGAAGAATGAAGGGGAGCAAATCGGAGGGGAGATGAACAATGAGAGATGATGAACTCTGAAAAACAAACTGAGGGTTCTAGAGGGGAAGGGGGTGGGGGGATGGGTTAGCCTGGTGATGGGTATTAAAGAGGGCACGTTGTGCGTGGAGCACTGGGTGTTATGCACAAACAATGACTCATGGAACACTACATCAAAAACTAATGTGTATGGTGATTAACATAACAATAAAAAATTTAAAGAAAAAAAAAGAAAATTGGGCATTTGAAACAATAGTCACCTCTCTCAGTGTTTGCAGACTGGTGGGGAACACCTTCATTAATTGGCGGGCTCCTAAGTATTAAAATCAGCATGGGGTGATGGCTTTAGATCTTCTCAGATGTTTTCTGGGCATGAATCTAGTCTGGCCTATGTGTGGGCCACCTTTTTTTTCCTCCCAGCTTTCCCTGGCTGCTTTTACATGTCTTAATTTCCCAAAGAGTCTCACACCAGCTTTTTTTTGTGGCCTTAGATGTTCTATCATATTCCTCTGCCTATAATCCCTTGCACCCTGGCATACATGGGTCTGTAGACCCCCTGAAATTTTCATATGCTGTGATCTTCATTGCCTTATGTAGCTTCCAAGCTGAGGTCCAAGCTATGCCATTTCCTGTCTGAGCTCCAAGTCAGATAAGACTGAAACTAGTCTACTGGGCAGCCTACAGACAGCCCAGAATATTGCAAACAAGTTCCATTTTCCTTCTTCTGTCTTGGGGGAGGGAACTGGGAATTGGGTTGCTTTTTTCTGACAATGCCATGCTATGCCAGGGAGGGGGTAGGGCGATAGTGAGCAAAGACATCATGAGATTTCTTATCATTTTAAACTATGTGTTTTCCTTGATTTGCTTAAACATTTAACTGGTTTCCAGAGCTCTTATAAAGTTATTTTTGTCAGTTTGTAATTGTTTATTTGATGTTTCCATAAGAGAGCAAGGACCTGGAGCTCCCTACCTACTCTCTGTCTTCCTGACATCATTCTCAATTATATAACCAAATCTTTTCAGACTTTTGCTTTCAAATGGAATATTTTGCTGGTAATTGGTGATAAGTGTGGTGAAATTAGTACAGTGTTCACTACAAACTCAGCTTTTGTTTGTCTCTATCCCCAGTACAAGCACGGAGGCCCCATCATTGCTGTGCAGGTGGAGAATGAATATGGTTCCTATAACAGAGACCCTGCGTATATGCCTTACATCAAGAAAGTAAGAGTCAGCTTGGTTTATTTCTTCATATTCCTTCCTCTGAAATATAGTATGGGCTACGATGTGACATGTTGGCCTAATTCTTTTCTCATATTAATACCACATTTCCTAGCACCATTTATTAATTAGTGAATCCTTTCACCATACTTTTATTTCAGTGGGATCACCACTTATTTACCCTTTATCGATTGAGTCTAATTGGGGGTTGCAGTACACACATGGAATTGCAATGGCTGAGAGTAAAGGGATGGGCTTCATTGAGTGTGATGATTAGTGAAGTCTCTCTGTAGAGGCTGCTCTCATTCTAGCATCTAAAGCAAGGGTTCGCAGCTTCATCTGAACATACACTTTAAAAATCCCTATGCCCAGGCCACATACCATACCAATCAAATAAGAATCGCTGGGGTGGTCCTCAGACATCCGATTTCAATGTGTAAGTTAGTTTGAGAACCACTGATTGAATGTATGGCAGATCAGCATATGGCAGGGCTAGATGACACTTAAAAAAACAGGCCTGTTTTTTAGATCTGGTTTCTATCCTTTTGCAGCTAAGGCCTTGAGCAAATGCCTTTTAATTTTTTTAAACCTCCATTTTCTCTTCTTTAAAGTGGGACTAGTGAGAGAATTTGCCTCTCTGCATTGTGCATGTGTGTGAGATCACTTGGCTCAGGACTGTTCTAGGCATGTAGTAAGTAGTCAATAAATAAGACTTTGATAGATTATTGGCAGTGGTTGTAGGGTACTTAGAAGGACGGGCCATGGTGTGGGCTGAGGAAATGTTAAGTGGCCTCAGAGAGTCCACCTAATTAAAGCTGCTGTAGTTTTGGCCCTTGATGTCAGCATCTCTTCTGCTGTCATAGGCAGATTCATTTTCCATCTGGAAATCACTTAAGTCCCTGCACACAGGCAGACCAAGCTCAAGCACTCTAGCTTATAGGTTCTCATCTACTCTTGCCCCCTTCTTATCACCTGCAGAAAGCCCTGTGTAGGGAACAAGCCTGTATCTAGGAAGAGGCATTCCCAGGCATCCTGATAGTCAAGCCCAACTGCGGCCTCTTTAGACCATACCTCCAGCTCCATCTTTGCCTTTGAATTAGCTAGAAAGATTCCAGCCAGGGCTCATGATAGGAGAGCTTCTCCCACTATAACTCCTTCCCTTGGACTGTCTCTCAAATGCTGGGGCTTCTCCAGCAGGTGTCTACTGAGTCCTGAGCTGTAGAGAAGGAGAGTTCTGCTAATAGGTGGGGAGGAGAGGGCAACCACTTCAAGGGGCTTCTCCAGCTCAGTCAACACTTCCTTGGTGTCTGGGGAAGGTATCCATATGTGAGACAGATGGACAAAGAGAAGCTGCAGCACCCACCCTCTGTCATCCTGACCTCTTGGGAGGATCCCCTCTTAAGCTGTCTTGCAGCTTCTCCTGGGTGTCGCGGACATATGGACACCATCAGCACAGGATGACCTTGGGTAATCACCTCACCTTTTTGAGCCTTAGCTTCATCATGTGCTGAATGGAGACAGATTATAGACACAAGACCCGGAACTCTGCTTGGCAGATCACTGGTGCTCAGGATATAGTAATTACCCCTTACAGTGTGCAGTCAATAAATTAATGCCTGTAAAAAGTCAAGTGTAATAGTACAGCTGTAAAAGAAGGTTACACCCTCCCAACCCCCGCGATCTTATATGCATAAGGTAGGAACTGAGGCAAAGCCTGTTACATATTGGCGAATGACTGGCTGGAGAGTTGCGAGGTGCTGGGTCCAGGGCTTTTAATAAACATCTCACCTTGCTTAATGGATTGAACGTCTGCAGCTTCTGTTGTCTCTGAGAATTAGGGCCCCCTCTGCTCTTTCCTTACTGGCATCAGGCTTTAGACATGAACATTATGTACCCACTGGATTCTCTCTCTGTCTCACATTTCGCAAAGAATTTGGTTGAAATAAGCAGTCTTGTCAAAATATCTGCAGGAAAAATTAGAGGAAAGTCCCCCTTGCCAGGGTTTCTGATCCTTTAGAGCCCACAGCCCCAGAGCAGACCTTCCAAGGTGGACAGACTCTGGATTCAGGTCCATACTATCTAATTTGCTCTGTATCCCTTAACCCTTTATTCAACCTCTCTGAGACTCTTCCTCTGTACAGTTATTAATTGTGAAGAGTGAATAGGAGAATCTATGTAAAGTGTTTAGCAGAAGGCCTAGCATGATTGTAAGTGGTTCATAAATGGCAGCAGGAGTAGTAAAATGGTTATTGCCTCTCAGCATAGTGTGTAACTCCTTCCACTTCTTCATTTGACGACTTTCAGGGAGCTCTTCCTGTTCTACTGGGTACGTGCAGTGTGTCATGGGCATGTGACTGTGTTGGACAGAGCCCTCCCTGGCCCAGTGTGGGCAAAGGATGGGCTGCCTGCTTCTGGTGTAGGGGGAGCTGGAGGGTCAGGAGGTCCTGGCCTGCTCTTGGAGACCATGCAAGCCGGCCTCTGAGTGGGGCCGTCTAAGAATAAGCGCACGCACCAGCCAGATCTGGCACCTCACCAGATCTGAGGCAGCCAAAGGATGCCAGAGTCTGACAGCCCTGCCCCTGCCACAGCTGGACTTCAGCTAATAGGAGCTTTGTTGACCATGTTGGGCACAGACAGGATAGGTTTCTGTCCACTTTTTGCAGAGAAGTAAATGCTTTATTTTGAATCTTTCCCTCTTTCTCTTCTAGCTGCCACCTTCCCAGCTCTGAGGAACCACAGATTGACTTGTTTTCTTTTCCCCCACAGGCCTTGGAGGACCGAGGTATTGTGGAATTGCTTTTGACTTCAGACAACAAGGACGGCCTGCAAAAGGGAGTCATGGATGGAGGTGCCTGCCTGGAAGCTGTGCGGGTGCGGGGGGGTATGGGGGGAGGCGGCACCCTGGCCTCACTCTGCATGCTTCCCTAAATGGCCTGGGCCGCAAGTGGAGTTTCCCTGATGTCTGGGCTTCTCCCATTTGCATGGCATTGGGCCCAAAGCTCTGGGCCTCAGAGGGTTGGAGGATCTGTGGCAGACGGATCTCTGGTCTCCCACTTGTGCTGAGCACTCACTCAGGACACTAATAGTGCTCTGCAGACTGCAACACAGGAATGGTGAGTTGGTCATCCTAGACGGAAGTTCTCTGAATGTCTGCAGAGAGGGCAGAGCAGATGAAGCATTATGGGGTGTCCTGTGAGGGTGGCTTACTCAAACGCTGCCAAAATCATGGAGATGGCTGACCACCACCCAGGGGGTATGTAGCCCCTGTGGTGATGGCAGCTGGCTGGGCAGCGAGTGAACGGAAGATCACTGTGGCGGCCCTCCATCAGCGCCGTCTGTTTCCCTTACTCTGCGTCTCTTCCTGTTACTGTAGAGGCGCTGGCCCAGCTTCACCCTTGTGCACCAAGCCCCTTGTCCCTCAGTTACTCAAGGGCATTGCTCCAGCAACTCCCGCTTCTGCCCTGGGTCATCAGATTTTCTCTCTCTATTGGGTCATTCCCATCTGCATGTAAACACGTTGTTATTTCTCTCTTGTAAAACAAATCTCTTGATTCATTTCCCTTTCCAGAGGCTGCTGTGTTTCTCTGCTCCCCTTCAAGAGATCTCCCCATGTCCATGCTCAATGGCTGCCCCAGTCCATTTCCTCTCCATCTCTCTTAAACCATCGGGGTCACGTTACCACCCTCACCACTCCACTGTGCTGCTCTTTTCAGGGTTGCCAGTGACCTCCATGTTACAAATTTAAATGCTCGTCCTTGTCGCCTCTGACCTCTCAGATTTTGTCAGCAACCATCAGTCTCTTTCCTCCCTTGGTGTCTGAGACCCAATTTCCTGTTTTTTTCTCTGACCTCACAGGCTGCTCCTACTTGGTATCTCCTGCTGGTCACTTCTCTGTTCCTGAGTTCTGATGTTTAAATTCTTTACTTCTCACTCCTTGGAATGAATGTTCCTCCTCTCTATACACTCACCACCCTGGTGATGTCATCCAGGTGCCTTTAGGTCTGACCTGTGTGTTGATGAGTGTGAGATGCACGTCTCCATGAGCAACCTTCCTGAACTCCTGCCTCACGTGTGCATCTGCCTACTGGGCACAGCACCCCGGGAAGGCTGCCGGTCTCAGAGGAACCCGCGGGGAACTGAACTTGTCTGTTTCCCTCCCAGAGCCTGTCCCACCTTCCGTCTTCTTTTTCTCAGTAAATTGCAACTCCATTTCCCCCAGTTGCCCAGCACCTAAACTTTGTAGGCACTTTCAGGCCTCTCCTTGTGTATGCCTGACACACAGCAAATCCTAAAAATCTTTAGCTTTATCTTCAAATTTATCCAGATGCAAGTAAGTTTTACCCCATCTGCTATTACCATCATTCTCATGTGGGCTGTTGCAGCAGCACTGATCTCCTTTCTTCACTGCTGACTCCGACACCACTTTTTCTCAACATAGCAGCATTTGCAAATGTCATTTGGATTGCCTCAGGCCTCACCTTAACTCCAGGTACACCCTGCCTTCCTCACACTGAAGCACAAGTTATGAGAAAGGCCTCGAAGGTCCTCCTTTGACCTGTGACCTGGCTAGGTGTCTCCTGGCCCCCCTCCCCCTGCCATCCTGTTCCACCCTCCTCCTGGCCTCCTATCTGTTTCTGGAACATACTGGACACCCCCAGCCTTCCTGCAGAGACCTTTCCTCCCACTTTTCTCCCAGGTCACCTCGAAGTGAGGCTTCCTCTGAGCACCCATTTGAAATGCAGCTCCTTCTGGAGCTCACCCAGCCCTTAGGCCCTGCTTTATTTTTGCCTTCTAACATTCTGGGTAGTTTCTTTGTTTCATTCACCTGTTTGACTGCAGCGGTAAGATCCACCAGGGCCTGGGTTCTGTCTTGTTTGGCGGTGCCCCTGTGCCTGGACACGGTTCATGCTCCGCAAGGATGATGGTCGTTGAAGGGCCTCCTGTCAGCTGCCAGATGCTTCCTAAGGGCTCCCACCACCTGCTTGCCTCTGTGGCAGCATGCCTGGCTTCCCGTTCCTTCTGCGTCGCCCTCCCCTCTACTAGAGTGAACAGACAGAGCCTTTCATCTCCGCGGCCCTAGGTCAGCGCCGGCCTGCGGGGGGCACTCGGGGGTGTCTCGTTGGATAAATGGGCAAGAGAAGGAAGGCCCTTTCCCCAGACCCACTGAGCTCCTCAAGGACCAGCGCGATTCCCGCCGCTTCCACGCGGTGGCAGTCTCCTTGTGGCTGCTTCCGAGGCCTCCCCCGCTCCATCGCTTCCGGTGGGGCCTGGGTGGGGCTATGGCCAGTGCCCGCAGGCAAGACCCTTTGGAGGCGGGTGCACAGGTTTAGCGCGTCAGCACCGCGCTGAGCAACGCCTCCGACGCACGGAGGGAGTCGACGAGGCCGGCTGCCGGACTCCAGGCCCTCCTCCACGGCCCGCTCCGCCCCTCGCCACACCCCCGCCCCGCCCCGCCGTGCCCCTCTCCCCCGCCTTCGTCCCCGGTGCCCCTCTCCCTATCCCCTCCTTTCTGACCCCGCCTCCGCGCCGCCCCCGTGCCTCCCCTCCCGGTGCCCAGCACCCCAACCCTGACCTCCGGAGCTCTGCCTGCTGTCGGAAGGACTTTTCTCCATTGCTTAAAAATGTAGTTAGAGTTAAGACAGCCACAGGTGTAGAGTAAGATCACAGAAATGCTGCCTCCTCCTCCCCGTCCCCAGACGTGACCCTGGCCCGCGGCATCCCGGCGGCGTAGCTCCCCGGTGATTCTGACCGGCTTCGTGGGCCGGCCTTACCCGCGTCGAGATGCCCCTCCTGCCCGCTGCCGTGCGGTACGAGCGGTATTCGGGGCGGTGTTGGGAACTGACTGGCTTTCGCTGGGCTTATTTTTCACGTTCAGTGTAACTATCCCGTTTCTTTTTATCTTTTCTTTCAATTCTCTCTTCTCTCCCCTTTCTCTTTCATTGTTATTTTTTGTTTAAATTTGACTTGACATACATAGGTGACACACGTTACATTAGTTTAAGGTGTCCCCCCTCTTCTCTTTTAAACAAACGCTTTACCAAAGATTTTCCAAACTCCTGTCACGTGTGTTTCAAATACCTGTACATCTCAGACTCTATGTCAAGTCCGATGGGTCTGAGACCCGACCGCCCCTGACCTGATGGAAGCCGGCTACCCGGCTTTACCGGAGGCTAAACTCTGGGTCTCCTGCCCAATTCGCCCCTTCTCTGCGCTGTGGCCAGATTTTCTAGCACCCACCGTCACCCTGAGGTACAAGGACATTCTGGTTCCTGATCCTTTTATATGTTCTTCCTGGTTTTTTTCCTTCCCATTTCTAGAAAATTACAGCATTTTCCCTTTATCCTGGGTATTCTGGTCTATCTTTGGTGTGGGATTTTTTTCCTTTTGTGGAACTTTTGGGCGTCATTTGAATTGAAACAGTTGGACATCCAGTCAGTGAATTTTTTTTTTTTTTTTGAAATGCTTTCCCTTCTTTTTTCTGATCTTTTGGTCACTCCTGTTATTTGTAGGTTGGACTCTCATATCTATTCTCTAAGTTGCTTATCTTTTTGATGTATGTCTGCTCTTTAGTTCCACTTTTCTGGGTGACTTCCTCAATTTGTCTTGTAATCCTCATATTTCCTGGGTCTTGTTTCCTTGAATATATTTCTTTTCTCATGGCATACTTTTTAAATGGACACAATCTTTCTTACTTTGCTCTGAGGATATTTTACTTTTTTTTTTTTTAATATTTATCAGTTCTGCTCAATCTTCCATGTGACGGGATTTTCTCAGTTGTCTTGTAATCCTCATATTTCCTGGGTCTTGTTTCCTTGAATATATTTCTTTTCTCATGGCATACTTTTTAAATGGACACAATCTTTCTTACTTTGCTCTGAGGATATTTTACTTTTTTTTTTTTTTAATATTTATCAGTTCTGCTCAATCTTCCATGTGACGGGATTTTCTCAGTTGTCTGGCTCTGGACTGAGCAGTTTAAAGAGGAGGCACTAAACGGCCAGTTGGGAGCTGAGTGCCAGGAGGGGCTGGGGCAGGTGTGCTCCCTTATGGGGTGTTGGGGCTGGGGTGTGCTGTTTCCAGGAGGGAAGCCCAAATGTCGGTGTTTGGAGATACTGTCTTTAGCTCTGTTAAGTGTTTCCAGAGACAAATCCTTTGGTCTGTTGCTGCAGATATCCTGGGAGCACACAGGAGGAATGGGCAGGAATCCTTTGGCTGAGATGGCCCTTACTGACCAGCTGCAGATCTCTTACTTCACACTCTGCTGAGCTGATCCCTCCCAGCCTGGAGACACTCAGCTTTCCTAGAGAATGTGGTCCTCCAGGGTGGGGCACCAGTGGGGAAGAGGCTTGAGGAGTGTATGAGGCATGGGACGGAAGTGTGTTCCCTGCTGCACAGTGCCTGGGACTTGAGACAAGGACTGGGGCTGGAGGTGGGGAGCCCGTTGAAGCTTCTTCCACTCTCCTATGCTGTTTACTGACCCACTGCCCTTTGCAGCCTCCTGAGATTTTCTTGAAACTTCCTCTCTGCTTTGTCTCCTCTCTAGATCTTGTTCTTTATGGCCTTTCACCTTTGGATTCCTTTATTTTTATATTAGTGAGGAGTCAGGAAGGCTAGGAATAGATGCCATGTTTTCAGCCATGCTAATCCTGTTCACTTCTGAGATTTCTGCCTGCTAGGTTTCAGACGGGCATCCTATCTTCAAGGTTTCTCCTTTAGGTGAGGAGGGGTCTGGATGTAGGGTCTTATCCAGTGGCTTGCTAGAGGATGGTGACATCACAGGACGATGGGTCAGGGTCAGATGGGCCTGGGTTGCAGCACTACTCTGCTGCTCACCAGTTGTGTGACCTTGAGGCAAGTTATTTAACCTCCTGGAGCCTCATCTGTTGTTTGATTTTAATCACTGGTAATCAGTGGCTTATGTCTACCAGGAGAGTGTCAGGGTGGCCACCTTGGCAGGCTGGTCAGTCTTTGTCGCATTCCCAGACCTGCCCGAGCTCAGGCCAAGCCCAGTGCATATGAGGCTTACTGTCCAAGCAGACAACAGGCAGGCAAGGAGCCTCAGAGCCAAGTTCTGCAGCTGGGGTAGGCCAAAAGGTCAAGGACCTTTTGGCCAAATGTAGCACAACTTTCTTGGGCATACCTTTCACTGATGCCATTTAAAATATAATTCTAAACTCAAAAATGGACACATTATGGAATGAAATAGAAAATTAACCCTCACTTAAGAAATAAAAGGGAAGTGTCCATTTAGATCATTACTTCGCACTAGATGCTTGAGGTGCAAAACAAAGATCAGACTCTGGGCTCCTATGAAAGAATAATTACCAGAGATGTACACTCTGCTTGTAAAAATTACATTGATCAAGAACAGATGCCCAGTGAGTGATTGCCCTGTAAGCTCTGAGTTGAGTGGTGGTTTCTGAGAGGAACAAGATAAATCTCCTGACATCAGAGCAACTAAGCTCTAATGCGAGGTGGGAAACAATGTCAAGATTAATTTATTTTGCTGGTAAACTGGGAAAGGTCTGGGTTAGTTCAGAAAGTCTCCCTGGCTTTTAAGACAATGCTTTGTTTCTCTTTCTCTTTTCCATTCACAGTGCTGGCCACCATCAACCTGCAGTCACAACATGAGCTGCAGTTATTAACCAACTTTCTCTTAAGTGTGCAGGTAAGTCTGGCCCAGGGGCAGCTGCCTGCTCTGCTTGGTGCAAGTGTAGAAAGTCCTAGAGTCAAATGGAGCCTCTGTCAGGAAGTGTGCAGTGCTGTGAGGTACCTGCAGCTATGTCCAGGGCTCCAGGATGGGGAGAGGATGACTCTGGGCTTGCTCAGCCTATCACCTCCCAGCCATCCTTCTGCTGTTCACAGAGGCTCAGGACTAGAATTCTGTGGACTCCATTGGCCCCAGATATGCTCATCTTGGGATTGAGAGGAGTGATGCTTTCCTGACCTGTACTGTGTGTCTGACTTTAACCCGTAAGGCCCCTCTGGGCCTAGAAAGGTTATTGTCATCAGCAAGATGGGAAGCCTGGGCCATTCCAGGTCAGAGGAGAGAGGAGAGGAGTTTCCGAGTACAAGTTCACATCCTTCAGGTTGATGGGAATTTACAGTTAAATCCTATTCTGATTGATTTCTTTTCTTTTGAGTTCACATGCCTCTCCTAAGGAGGCAGATGGGACCTGGCCACAGTAGTGGCAGCCCATTCACAGAGCTGGGGCCCCATCCCTCACCGTGTCTTACTGAAGGGTGTGAATGCCCCAGACTGTCACCACCTATTAGGTGTAGGCATTGATTCCCCGGGCCTAGTGGGGAGCCGTTGGAACATTAGTATCACCCATGAGTAGATGCCTGCAGAGATGCTGGGGCTGTTCTCCATTCCACCTGTTCATTTCTTAGAGCAGAAGTAGGTCCAAAGGCACATCCATATGAAGTCACCAGGGGAGTGTGAAGCTGTGGAGGATGAGGGCCACCTGTGTGTATGATGTGGCTACTATCTGAGTTTAGAGGGACAAGCGGAATGCTCAGGGAAGGTGACCAGGAAGAAATGGGGCAGGATGGGACCTGACACCAGGCAGACTTTGTTAGGCTGAGTGGGGGAGAGACAGTGGGTCCCGGTGGGCCCAAGTCCAGCCCCTTTCTCCTTTCCTTCCTTCCTCCAGTGTTGACTGAGTGCCTGCTCTGTGTGTGGAATGTGGCTAGGCCCTGTTACCCTGTGGTAACTAAGATGGCAGGTCTTGGCCTTACGGGTTTGTGACCAACCTGGGGAGTAAACAAAAATAAACAATAGCCCAGCAACTAAATAGGATCGTACCTGAGTGTTGTCTAAGGCAGGTATAGGATATTGTGAGCTGTCTCTCTGCCCACTTGGTAGTGTGACCCCTCTGCTTCTCTTTCCTCTTCTGTGAAGTGGGGATAATGATAGTACCTGCTCAGGGGATTGTTTGAGGATCAAATGAAGTAATATTTGGAAAGCACCCAGGAAAGCAAGGCTTCATGTTGGCTCCTTTATGGTCATCCTTAGATAGGGGCCCCACAGCTGTGTACCCAGGCCGGGTCATCCTGCTGACAGACGCACCGTTAACGGTCTTTCTGTCTGCAGTTCAGTTCAGTGATGTTTTCCTCAAGGAAGGGGACTTAGATCAGAGTCTGCTTTGAATGCTCAAACAGGACAGGCCCAGCTCTGCTCAACTTTGGGATGTCCAACAGCACTCTGCTGGGCCCTCATGTGCATGTCCAGTGATGATATCTGATAATTAACGTGGGTGTTTCTTGAGCACTTCCCAAGTGCTAGGCACCATGTGCTAAAGGCTTTCCATGCATTATCTCATTTAATTCTCCCAGTAACCAGGTCAGCTGGCTACCGTGGTTACCGTTGTACAGTTAAGGAGACTGATTTGAGAACAAATAGAGCACCCAGTAAGTGGCAGGTGAGGGGGTACGGCACAGTCTGACTGAGGCAGAGCTCCAGCTCTTAACCACATCGTGCGGCGCAGTGACCTGGGCCATTGGTGGGCCTCCCTGTACCTTGGCCCTGGCACACTTAAGTCAGGGAGCCCCTTCCTAGCCCTGGAGACTATTGACATGTGGCACGTAGAATCTACTTCACACTTAGTGACTTAAACATGGCACAGTGTATCCCCTTCTTGGGAGGTAGACAGGTGTAAAAAAAAAAAAAAAAAAGCCACCAGTCTTGCTAAAAAAATTACTGTGACTACTTTGGCTTTTCGTCTGGCATGGTTAGTATCTTCTACTCAACAGATAATAAACCTATCCCATCACTCTGGACCAGATTTTGTTGCTCTGTATGTGTTGCCCTCTAAATGTAAGGCCATCACTAACAGAGAAAGTACTTGATGAATGAGGACGGCTCTCCGGTGTGGAACCTGAAACACCAGCATGTTAGTCCTTCTGTCTTCCCCCGATGCTCTGGTGCTTCTGCAAACACGGCACAGTAGAACATGGTTCTCGGAATGGTTTCTGCATCCCTGGGGCAATCCCACACCAAAGTCAGCATTCTGAAGTAATATTAAAGACTTAACTGTTACCGAACATCCTAGCCAAGGTATGAAGCCAGATACTGCGGCTGCAGGGCCTGCACTGGAAAAGCTGTGCTAAATAACTCCCTAATTTTCTTGTCCAGTTTTGTAAACTAATGTTTAAACTAGACCTCAAAGAGGGGCTCACTCTACAGCCCTCTGACTCTTCCAGCTAAAGGGCAAGAGCAACTGAGGGGTCTGCATCCACGGGGTGCCCATCAGAAATGGAATTATCCTGATAGAACATTCTCCTTCCCTGAGAGAGGATAGGCAAAGCTTGGCTTGACCCAGAAAGCAAATCCACGTAGGAAAAGACTCCCAGAGCACATGCTGCATTCTGATGCAGACTGACTTTGAACACATCTCTGTGTTTTCTTGCTAGTTCCGTATGCAGCATTAAAACTACGTTAAAGCATCAGGGTCTCCTGCATCAGCTTTGCTAGTTCGTTCCACTTTCTACCTGCAGTGTGAGGCACATGTGGAGGATAAGCTGGTGCAGGTGCATTTAGTCCTCACCTGCGCTCTGCTTTTGATGGCCTTTACAGCAAGGAGTGTGTGGCCAGGGAGGAGTTGGGAGGGTAGAAGGGCTGGGATATCCCTGAAAGAAGAACTGCTTTCTGCCTCTTTTGGCCAGCTAACTTCTCATTTTGTGGTGCCCAGAGGGTTCAGCCCAAGATGGTGATGGAGTACTGGACAGGGTGGTTTGACTCGTGGGGAGGCCCACACAACATCCTGGATTCTTCTGGTAAGTGCTTTGCAGTACCTACACCCAACATGTGTATTGACCTATGAAGTAAAAATCAGTTCCAAATAATGTGCTAATTGATGTAAATGAGCTGTAGGGTGCAAGGCTCCTGGGATTATCTGCATGTCATAGTCAGCTCTTGATGTTCCAGACTCATGTGTCTTGACGTTTGAAGTGAATGGTAGGACTCTTAACACTGCTTTATGATGTTTTTATAATTAGATAGGCAATGCACACCTATTGCAAACATCCAGCAAATACAGAAAATGTAGGAAGAAGAAATAAAAACCCCAGAGCCCGGAGAAAACACGTACAGTTGACTTTTGAACAATGCAGCAGTTAGGGGTGCTGACCCCCCTGCACACTTGAAGTCTGGGTATAACTTTTGACTCCCCCCAAACTTAATGATTAATAGTCTACTATTGACCAGAAACCTACTGATAACATACAATTGATTAACACATACTCTGTATATTGTCTGTGTCATATACTGTATTATTACGATAAAACCAGGTAGAGAAAAGACAATGTTATGAAGAAAATTGTAAGGAGGAGAAAATACTTTACAGCACTGCACTGTAAGAAATCATGTGTAAATGGAGCGTGCAGCTCAAACCCGCGTCATTCGAGGGTCAGCTGTATATTGTGCAGGCAGTTCTGTGTCTCTGTCTGCAGCCCTGCACGCACGCAGAGATATGGATGCTCGTAGTCGTGACTGCTCTTTGTTACCTGCCTGTGCCCTGATTGACACAAATGAACAGCCAGCCTTCTACACTACTAGAGATTCCATCACTGTTTTAAAGAATGCAAAGAACCCTGTTGTATTGGTGATTAAACCACAATTTATTTAGCCATTCTCTTATTGATGAACAGTTAGGATATTTCCAGTGGTTTTTGTTAATTGAACACCATTGCAGTGAACATTCTTGAAAATCCAGTTTTGCAAATCTGGCATATTATTTCCCTAGGATAAGTTCCTAGCAATAGAATTGCTACATTAATTCAATTTTGATATATATGTACTAAACTCTCTGGGAAGATTACAACAATTCTTACTATTATTAAATGAGAATACCTACTTTCCACAGATTCATCAACACTGAGTATTAAAATAATTTTTAATATTTGTCAATCTGATTGCCAATATATATGTATGTGTGTATACTTTATATTTCTCCTTTTCACGTCTTTGGCTAATTCTCTAATAGAGGTGGGATTAGGGAGGTGGTCAGAAATTACATCTCCGACTAGGAGTCCAGTCTTTTGCATCTTACCAAGTGTGAGTAAGGGTTGAGAACAGTGGAGGTGGAAGGCTGTCATTGGAGACTTGGCCATGATGGAACCAACAGCTGGAAGACTGCAGCTCAGGGGCTGTGGTGCTGGTCCTTTTGTCTTCACACCCTCATCTTCTGTGATTGCGGTTCTAGTGGAAGCTGAAGGGCAGAGCTATAGAGTTGAATTTGATGGGGTTGGGGAGGGATCAGGAAAGCTGAGAGGCCAACAAGTTTGTGACTTGTCCCAAACTCTGACTCGCTCGGCACATCCCCTTTCTCCCCTCCTCCTGCAGAAGTTCTAAAAACAGTGTCTGCCATCCTCGATGCTGGCTCCTCCATCAACCTCTACATGTTCCATGGAGGTACCAACTTTGGCTTCATAAATGGAGCCATGCATTTTCATGAATATAAATCTGATGTCACCAGCTACGGCAAGTATTCCCCAACACTGACCCTCCCTGGAACACTCCACATTAGCATGTCTGGGGCTTTTTATGCAGAGTCCTTTAGGGGCAGTGTCTGGCACCTTTAATGCATTTCGTTCTAGAGTGCCTGGGGAAGGGATGGTTTTGCCCGGATTATTACTTTTAAACTTCTAGAGCAGTAGGAGACTGAAGCCCACTCACATGCCTGTGAGCCTTTGGAAGTCATTGGAGGAAGTGAGAGGTACAGCCAGGATGGGGGAAGGTCCTTTGATGAGGGCAGCCTCTTCTCCCTGCTCAGGCCCTTGAGATGTGTGACTCCTGCACCCTTTAGGTTGAGAGTCCCCTGAAGGTAGGCAAGATGCAGGAAATTGAGGGTCATGCCATGGCCATGGTGGCCTTGGTGGTACTTTATAGTATTTAGTATTTATTGTATTCTGACTGATGGCTTATACCAGAAGTGTTCTGCCTCCCAAATTGCTGGGATGAGGACCTTGACGCCATACCCCAGCTTCTCCCTTCTCTTTTTGCTGCTGTGGACACTGTCCTGTGACACAGGTGACCAGTGACAGCATCCTGGTGTCTTGCAGACTATGATGCTGTGCTGACAGAGGCTGGGGATTACACAGCCAAGTACTTCAAGCTCCGAGGTTTCTTTGGCTCTATCTCAGGTACCTGACAGACAGCAGACTCAAGCACCAACTTGGGCCCTTGCTTTTGCTCTGAGACCCCTGAAGAATTACTTCTTCACTACCCCATCTCAACCCCAGTTGACCTATGTACAAGAATGTCCCTAGCCAAGGACAGGCAAGTTTGGGAGACTGTTTTCATCATGGTTTGTGTGTCATCAGCTTTGCCTTTCTATGGGCATTAAGACTCCTGAAGATATGAGAAAGTAAAATCCCCTGCACCCCCCCTCCCCCATGTTGCCTTCCTAGCAGGGCCAGGCAGTCTAAGAATGTTTCCCTCTTGGCTCTAGGATAAAGGAGCACATTGGGCCATGGACAGGAGCCAGGGGCTGGGGAGGCTGGAGGTGGCAGTGACTTTTTGGGTCCTCTTGGGTTGGCCCTGTTGTCTGTGTTGCAGGTGTCCCTCTTCCTCCCCAACCTGACCTCCTTCCCAAGACTGCGTATGAGCCCTTGAGACCGAATTTATACCTGTCACTGTGGGACGCCCTACAGTACATGGAGGAGGTGAGTGCCTTGGGGCAGGGAAGCTGGGGCAGTCACTAGGTGGGCCAGTGGGGCTGTGGAGGGAGAAAAACCAACTCTGATAGCTTTGAGGTCCACTCCCTGACTTCAGAGCTCAGAGGAAAGAGCATAAACTTGTGCTAGAGTATGAACTGGGAAGGAACAAAAGGAATTTGAGGAAAAACTGGGTAACACAGTAGGTAGTCTCTCTCTCCAGCCTTGGTGGACAGGGAGGAGGGTGAAGAGGCACGTGAATGGGGTGTATCCCCCCTCTGAGAAGAGGGTGCACCCCTGGAGCTGACCCAGTGGGGTGCCGTGATGCAGAAATGATGGTGGATTGAAAGGCTACAGGTCTGGTACATCTCTGGGGTTCATTCCATTGTTATCACACATCTGCCCTCCCTGTGACCCTGGACAGCCTAGGGCTAATGAGATGAGAAGTCAAAATCAGAATTTTGGAGCTTGAAGAGCCAATCGGCCGGATTGGCTCCCTATGTTTGTATAGTGAGAAGTCAAACTAGAAGAAAAGGTTAGAGGGCCTCTTCCCCCAAATCCCCAGTCCCAGGTGGGGATCTGTCTGCTGTCTTGCACGCCCCCAGAAGGCTCAAGATGAGGTTGCTGCCTCCTTTCTCCTCTTCCTAGCCTATATCTCCCCTACTCTTCTCTGTACAGCCAGTCAATTCTGAAAAACCAGTCAATATGGAGAACCTGCCAATAAACAATGGAAATGGACAGTCCTTTGGGTACACTCTGTACGAGACCACCATTGCTTCATCGGGCATCCTCAGTGGTCTTGTGCGTGACCGGGGACAGGTAGGGGCGATTTCTCTTTTTTAAAAAAAAATCTTTATTTAAATTCAAATTAATTAACGTATACTATATTATTAGTTTCAGAGGTAGAGTTTAGTGATTCATTAGCTGCATGTAACACCCAGTACTCACTACATCAAGTGCCCTCCTTTATGCCCATCACCCAGTTATCCCTCCCCCACCCCTAGCCCCCGCCTCCCCTCCAGCAGCCCTCAGTTTGTTTCCTAGAGTTCAGCATCTCTTATGGTTTGTCTCCCTCTCTGTTTTCATCTTACTTTATTTTTCTTTCCCTTCCCTTCCCTTATGTTCATGTTTTGTTTCTTAAATTCCACATATGAGTGAAATCATATGGTATTTGTCTTACTCTAACTTGTTTCGCTTAGCATAATACACTCCAGCTCCATCCATGTCATTGCAAATGGCAAGATTTCATTCTTTTTGACAGCTGAGTAATATTCTACTGTACATACATACCACATCTTTATCCACTCATCTGCTGATGGACATCTGGGCTCTTTTCATAGGTTATTGTGGACATTGCTGCTACAAACATTGGGGTGCATGTGCCCCTTCGGATCACTACATTTGTATCTTTGGAGAAATACCTAGTAGTGCAATTGCTGGGTCATTGGGTAGCTCTATTTTTACCTTTTTGAAGACCCTCCATACTGTTTTCCAGAGTGGCTTCACCAGTTTGCATTCCCACCAACAGTGTAGGAGGGTTCCCCTTTCTCTGCATCCTCACCAACATCTGTTGTTTCCTGACTTGTTAATTTTAGCCATTCTGACCAGTGTGAGGTGTGTCTCATTGTGGTTTTGATCTGTATTTCCCTGATGTTGAGCATTTTTTCATGAGTCTGTTGGCCATTTGTATGTCTTCTTTGGAGAACTGTCTGTTCATGTCTTCTGCCCATTTCTTGACCAGATTTTTTTGTTTTTTGGGTGTTGAATTTGCTAAGTTCTTTATAGATTTTGGATACTAGCCCTTTATCTGAGAAGACATTTGCAAATATCTTCTCCCATTTCATAGTTGCCTTTTAGTTTTGTTGACTGTTTGCTGTGCAAGAGCTTTTTATTATGATGAAGTCCCAATAGTTCATTTTTGCTTTTGTTTCTTTTGCTCTTGGGGAATGTGTCTAGCAAGAAGTTGCTGTGGCCAAGGTCAAGAGGTTGCTGCCTGCATTCATCTCTAGGATTTTGATGGATTCCTGTCTTAAATTAGGTCTTTTATCCATTTTGAGTTTATTTTTGTGTATGGTGTAAGAAAGTGGTCCTGTTTCGTTCTTCTGCATGTGGTTGTCGAATTTTCCCAACCCCATTTATTGAAGAGACTGTCTTTTTTTTCCATTGAATATTCTTTCCTGCTTTGTCGAAGATTAGTTGGCCTTAGAGTTGAGAGTCCATTTCTGGGTTCTCTATTCTGTTCCGTTGATCTGTGTGTCTGTTTTTGTGCCAGTACCATACTGTCTTGATGATTACAGCTTTGTAATACAGCTTGAAGTCTGGAATTGTGATGTCACCAGCTTTGGTTTTCTTTTTCAACATTACTTTGGTTATTTGGGGTCTTTTCTGGTTTCATACAAATTTTAGGATTCTTTGTTCCAGCTCTGTGAAAAATGTTGATGGTGTTTTGATAGGAATTATATTGCTTTGGGTAGCATATACATTTTAACAATATTTGTTCTTCCAAGCCATGAGCATGGAATGTTTTTATATTTTTTTGTGTCTTTCTCAATTTCTTTCATAAGTGTTCTGTAGTTTTCAGAGTATAGATCCTTCATCTCTTTGGTTAGGTTTATTCCTAGATATCTTATTGTTTTTGGTGTAATTGTAAATGGGATCAATTCTTTGATTTCTCTTTCTTGTGCTTCATTGTTAGTGTATAGAAATGCAACTGACTTCTGTGCATTTATTTTATATCCTGTCACTTTGCTGAATTCCTGTATCAGTTCTAGCAATTTTGGGGTGGAGTCTTTTGGGTTCTTTACATAGAATATCATGTCATCTGTGAAGAGTGAAAGTTTGACTTCTTTGCCGATTTGGATGCCTTTTATTTCTTTTTGTTGTCTGATTGCTGAGGCTAGGACTTCCAGTACTATGTTGAATAATAGTGGTGATAGTGGACATCCCTGTCATGTTCCTAACCTTAGGAGAAAAGCTCTCAGGTTTTCCCCATTGAGGATGATATTCACTGTGGGTTTTTCGTAGATGGCTTTTATGATATTCGGTATGTTCCCTCTATCCCTACACTGTGGAGAGTTTTAATCAAGAAAGGATGCTTTATTTTGTCAAATGCTTTTCTGCATCAGTTGAGAGGATCATATGATTGTTGTCCTTTCTTTTATTAATGCCGTGTATCACATTGATTTGCGGATGTTGAACCAACCTTGCAGCACAGGAATAAATCCCACTTGGTCGTGGTGAATAATCCTTTGAATGTACTCTTGGATCCTATTAGCTAGTATCTTGGTGAGAATTTTTTTATCCATGTTCATCAGGGATAGTGGTCTGTAATTTTCCTTTTTTGTGGGATCTTTGTCTGGTTTTGGAAACAAGGTAATGCTGGCCTCATAGAATTGAGTCTGGAAGTTTTCCTTCCATTTCTATTTTTGGAACAGTTTCAGAAGAATAGGTATTAGTTCTTCTTTAAGTGTTTGGTAGAATTCCACTGGGAAGCCATCCGGCCCGGGACTCTTGTTTGTTGGGAGATTTTTGATTACTGGTTATGGGTCTGTTCAGGTTTTCTATTTCTTCCTGTTTCAGTTTTGGTAGTTTATATGTTTCTAGGAATGCATCCATTTCTTGCAGATTGCTTAATTTGTTGGCATATAATTGCTCATAATATGTCTTAGAATTGTGTGTATTTCTTCACTGTTGGTTGTGATCTTTTCTCTTTCATTCATGATATTATTTATTTGCGTCCTTTCTCTTTTATTTTTGATAAATCTGGCTAGGGGTTTATTGATCTTACTGATTCTTTCAACAAACCAGCTCCTATTTTCCTTGATCTGTTCTACTATTTTTTTTGATTTCTCTACCATTGATTTGTGCTCTAATCTTGGGGCATCTTATTTCCTGTGACCTGTGGTCATCAAGTCCTACCATATGCATCTGACTCTCTCTCCTAAGTGCTCACATATCTGCCTGTTACCAGTGTGTAGAAATGGCCCATCACCATCAGCTCTGCTGTCCTTTTCAGCTACAGTCATGGGCATTCATTTTTCCTCTATGCCTGGCTAACCCCCATTTTCACTGCACACACATAGTGTTACCCCTTTCTTTGCTTATGAGAGATCCCTCTTATGCCTCCCTCCTGTCGACCCATGGATGCTTTCTGTCTGTTCATTTGGCAGGTATTTGTGAACACAGTGTCTGTAGGATTCTTGGACTATGAAAGGAAGAAGATTGTTATTCCCTTGATCCAGGTTTGTTATCCTGGGGAGCTGGGTGATGGCTAGCACCAAGCTGCTTCCCGAGCAGGTTTGGTGGGAGTCAAAGAGGAAGACCTGGAAGACAGGAGGCTCCTTAACCACAGAGCTGCTGATGGAAAGAGGGGCAAAACATTGCTATCTGATCAGTGGGTACTCTTTTACCCCTATTCTCAGAGTTCAGGGAAGAACTGGGGTTCCACATAGAAACTCTGAGGTGCAGCTGTGATCTTATGGCTGGGGAATCAGGTGGTCATCATCAACCACTATGTTCCTGGCAGGGTTACACCAGGCTGAGGATCTTGGTGGAGAATCGCGGGCGAGTCAACTACGGGGATAACATTGATGACCAGCGCAAAGGTGGGTCATAGCATGTGCTGAAAGAAGAGCTTCTAGTACTCAGCAATGCCTGGCTATTTTTTCTTCAAACCAGTGCACCAGCTGGTCATGGAGGCTGACTGTAGTGAGGTGGAGTCATGGTGGCCCATTGGAGGGAATTGGGTTGTGGAAACCCATTGAAGGGAGGTGGGTCATGGAGGCCCACTGGAGGGAGGTGGTTTGTGGAGGCCCATTGGAGGGAGGTGGGTAATGGAAACCCATTGGAGGGAGGTGGGTTATGGAGGCCCATTGGAGAGAGGTGGATTGCAGAGGTCCGTTGGAGGGAGCTAACTCATGGAAACCTATTGAAGAGAGGTGGAAGTGGGCCTTCCTGAAAGGCCCATGTGGGTTCTGACCTCTTTCTTATGCATGTTGTCCACATGGCCATGGTGAACACACAGGGAACACTGAGCCAGCCTCTCCAGATCTCCCTGGGTTGTAGTCTGCTTTAGTAGGGGACTATCTGCTGGGGCTGGGCTGGGGGTGGTGAGGCTTAAGGAAGGGGATTCCCAGGAAGCCAAAAAGGGCATAGGACCCCTGCCTTCTTGGGTCTCTACACTGAAGTTTTCTTTTCTTTTCTTTAGAGTATTTATTTATTTATCTAGAGTTTACTAATATATTTATTTAGAGGGGGAGAGAGAAAGAGAGCATGTACACATGTTAGTAGGGGGAGGGGCAGAAAGAGAGGGAAAGGGAGAGAATCTCAAGCAGACTATGCACTGAGCATGGAGCCCGACACAGGGCTTGATCTTACAACCCTGAGATTATGACATGAGCCAAAACCAAGAGTTAGACACATAACTGACTGAGCCACCCAGGTGCCCCAGCATTTCTTTTCTTGATCCACTGTGGGAACCCATTGATGATCTCATTTGTGGTGGGGAGGAGGAGGTAGTACATGCAGTAAACAAAATGCTCTTGATGGAATGCTCCCCTAGGAATATCTCACCAACTCATTTTATTTTTCTTGGCCTTCTAAAACTTCTCTGCTTAAATTTGCTTCTTCCTTTTCATCTATCAAAATGTCGGTGGTTTCATGTAAGTTATAAGAATTCAGACAAATAGGGCGCCTGGGTGGCTCAGTTGGTTAAGCGACTGCCTTCGGCTCAGGTCATGATCCTGGAGTCCTGGGATCGAGTCCCACATCGGGCTCCCTGCTCAGCGGGGAGTCTGCTTCTCCCTCTGACCCTCTTCCCTCTTGTGCTCTCTCTCATTCTCTCTCTCAAAAAATCTTTAAAAAAAAAAAGAATTCAGACAAATAAATCCCACTATGGTAAGGGATACTGGTGACCTCCCAACTCTCTCATGGGTGTTTGCCTTTGTAATGAGGAAATTTGTGCATTCCTTCCTTTCCTGCCTGGGAAACGCTGTGGCCCAGCCATTGGGGGTTTCTTGGGTCTTGGGGTTTGGCCCTCTCCAGATAGGCCTCATGGTAGCTTCTAGTACTGTCCAGCTTATCTTCGTTTTCCCCTAAAGAATCCCCCAGTGTTCCTCTTTGGATATTGGCTTCTTCCCCTAGGAGCTCCATCTGTAGGCCCATCTTCACTTCCTTTGCTCTCTTGTGGGCAGGAAGGGATTGCCAGGCTCACCCCGTTCTCATTCTTTGCCTCCCCAGGTTCCTGAGTAAGATGTGCCCTGGACTCTCACTGTGGAGTAATTATCCCCTAGAACAGTTCAGTGTTTGTAAGTCAAAGACCTCCCCGCCCCAACCTGTGCCTGTAATTTAAGAGTCTGCAGGCTCTATGAAACCTGTTTGCACTTCCCAGCCTATTCAGATTCCCTCTCTAGCAATTCAGCAGCTCCATGATTGTGAGGACCATGGGAGCTGCTCCAGGACCAACATTGCTGGCCCCTTCCCCAAGGCACTAGCTAATCACTATGCAAGTGTGTGTGGGTCCTCAGACTTGGATAGCCAAGTCACATTGCCATCTGTTCACAATTTAAATAATATATCTTCAATCCTAGGTCATGTAGAAGATTTCTGGCTATTAGGTCTGTTTAGTCTGGGACCCTACTGAATCTGATCTTGAAGCTAAGTTAGAACTGCTGTGACCTCTTGATTATCTGCCCTTTGGGACTCATTTTAGGCCCCAAAATGGAGCTTCCCCTTCAGAGAAAAGCCAGAGATTGTTCTCACCCAATGACATTCTCAGTTCCCATTACCCTCAGATGTATTCTTCTGTGCAAATCCTAGGGAGGTCCTGGCAAACACTGCTGTTACTCATTCTTTTCTCCTTTGGGATTTCTAGAGAAGGTTTTATGCCATATGAAGAGCTCTGTAGGGAGTATGTACTTCTGGAGGAATTCTCACTGGAACTTTTCAGAAATTCTCCATGTATGTGCAGGGCCTTAGCTGGGTCAGCTCTGCCCCTGCCTTTGGCCTCATTCATGTTTCCTTGGCTTCTTCCCACAGGTTTAATTGGAAATATCTATCTGAATGATTCTCCCCTGAAAAAATTCAGAATCTACAGCCTGGATATGAAAAAGAGCTTCTTTCAGAGGTGAGTCCCCACCGCATGAAGTGTGTGAACCCACGGATAAGGTGCAGTAAGAGGCAGGAAGGCCCAGAAAACTGCTCTGCCCTAGCCCCTCCCACTCAAGTGTAAACAGACCCAGAACCCAGAGCAACTTGCCCAAGGTAGGGGCAGTACCAGCACTAGAGACTAGGGAATTTCCATGGTACCCTGGTTAACAGGTAGGGGGTGGGTGAAGGTATTTGGAATGCCTTTGTAATTAGATTCGGGACAGGGTCCAAATCTGAGAAAGTGCCCCCCTTTCTTGTCTTCCATTCTTCTGTTCATAGGTTCAGCGTCGACAAATGGAGCCCTATCCCTGAAGTACCTACGTTCCCTGCTTTCTTTTTGGGTGCCTTGTCTATTTCCCTTTCCCCTTTTGACACCTTCATGAAGCTGGAGGTTTGTAGTCCCCTCCCTGCCTGGGCTCTCCAGTCTTCCTTCAGAGAGCACTGAGCCCAAGACCTGTACCTGTCCTTGCTGGAGCCCTCTATACCACTTGTACCCAGAGATTCTCTGTTTTGCCCTCTCTGAAGGGCCCCTGGGGCCTCCCTGGGGTGGGGGAGTGGATTCAGATCAGAAGAACCACCTGGTGGTACTTCTCAGGGTCCAGGTCTGCTCTTGGGTACCTTGCTGGGGAGCTCAGAGCTAGTGGATTCAGGAGATAGAACACCCTTGTGTTAACCTCATGGCTGTTGAAATATTCATTCACACTGGTATCTTGGAAGCTGAGAGAAGCACTCATGGCATGTGTCTGTCTCTGTCTTCCTATGTGACTTTATATTCGGTGGCTTTCATGGTCAACTAATCCTTTTCCCACTCTGCTTAAAGGGCTGGGAGAAGGGGGTTGTATTCATCAATGGCCAAAACCTTGGACGCTACTGGAACATTGGACCCCAGGAGACCCTCTACCTCCCAGGTGCCTGGTTGGACCAAGGCATCAACCAGGTGGGAGCACTTGCAGCTTCTTCCCTCGACCCAGCCCTCCCTGGTATCACAATGTTTTCCTGGGAGCGGGGTTCAGGTAACAGTCTATTTAGGCTCATTACGGTAGGAGATGGGGCAGAAGGTTTAGCCAGCCCCTTCTGCATTCCTCCTTGGTGATGATGAGTTGTGGGTCCCTGTTCCTTCCAGTGTGGCTCTCAGTCCCTTCCCCTAAGGCACCCTCATCTGGCTCCAAGACAAACCTTTACTGCTGTCATACACCAGCCCTTCTTTCCCCCAGGTTATTGTTTTCGAGGAGAAGATGGCAGGCCCTGTGATACAGTTCACTGAAACACCCCACCTAGGCAGGAGCCAGTATCTTGATTGAGCGGCACCACCCTGCGCCCCCTGGTGGCGGGAAGCAGGAGAGCACCACAGTCCCCCCTCAGCTGACCGGAGCCTGGTGCTCTGCTCCTTCACACCCTCCCATGCAGGAGAGTTTCCTTAAGTAGCATCCTCAGGCAGCCATGTGGCTACAGCAAGGCCCACTCGTTCAGTTCAAGACCCTAAACTTGGAAGAACTGAAGAAGAAAAGTGGGATAGGAGGGTGGGACCCCCTCCTTACCTAAGTGGCTTTAAAAAAATTTTTTATTGTTATGTTAATCACCATACATTACATCATTAGTTTTTGATGTCCTAAGTGGCTTCTTGACTGGGCTTTGCTGCTGGCACCTTTCCTACTTCCCTTTAACTTCTGGGAGAAGACAGAGGGATGTCCCTCTAGGGTAGGAATGTCTAATCAGATGTCCACGTGATGATGCCTGGGGCCCTCAGTTGGGCATAACTTCTAGACACAGGTTTGCTCCTATGATCTTCTCACCTGTGCTCAACCATGCCCCTCCTGGCCCCTTTTCATCTGAAATAGGTTTGTCACCATTTGTAGAGGATAGGGAAGCGGGTAGGTGTCTCACCTGAATCATCTTTGTTCTTCTCAACCCTCCCCAAGCCTTCTCTGGGATTCTGGAAGAAACTCTGAGAGACACACACATTTTCTCCTTCTCATTTTCCACTCTAATTGCATCTGACAGGATGACAAGCCAAGCTTAGGAGAAACAGAAATACTCAGCCACTTACTTTCCTGAATTAGAGAGTATTTCCAGTTTTACTCAATGAGAAGAAGCATCAACTGAGGAGGGAATGCGGGCCCTAGTAAGAACCACACCCTGATCTGAAGGCCCAGCTCTGGGGGCACGGGCAAGTAGTCTCCCTGGAATGTTGGTGTAGCCACGGGGCCCACAGGCCTAGTCCAGATCTTGCCTCCAGCTCAGTCTCTCTCCCTCAACTCCCTGTAACTAAGCAGCAGGGAGGAGAAGCAGCCTTCCTTTGCAATTGTCTGTCCAAATTTGAGGCGCTTGTTCTAGGGATTGAATCCACTGGGTTAGCTCTGGTTCACTGTCCTGAATTGCAATAAAGCAACAGAGTTGAATCAAACCCTTTTTGGTGATACTTTTCTTCTGATTCAGATCAGAAGAACCACCTGGTGGTACTTCTCAGGGTCCAGGTCTGCTCTTGGGTACCTTGCTGGGGAGCTCAGAGCTAGTGGATTCAGGAGATGTGCTTCTATTTATCACAAGCAAAGGCATTGTGGGGTCAGGTACCCACTTAGCCCATCCAGCACTCAGAGTCTAGACAGACTTTACCCGGTTAGTGGGTGCTCCAGCCGCTGGCTCCTTACCACCTCCCTCCTGACCTTCATTCTGCCTGAAATGTCATCGTGAATCGGCAGTGCCCTTGGGGAGGAGAAGTCATATACAGATCCGTTCCGGTGCTGGTGGGCTGGTGGTAAGAATCTGCTGGACAGCCAAGAGCTCTCCATGTGAGGTAGCGGGTGAGTTTTCCTCACACATAACATCTGGATCGTACTGCCACAAACTATCTTCAACGGTAATCAAAGTTAGATAGCCAACACCTCCTCGGGACAGTGCCTGTGCCGGGAGGCCATAAAGACCTTTGGGGAATAGCAGGCCATGAGGCTCCCAGCAGCCCCAGGGCTCCCATCTTGGGCTTGCCTAAGGAAGGGGGCATTTGTGGTGTGTAGCCATTGGGCCCACGAGCTGAGCCTGGGTCAAGGACAGACAGTTAGTTACAAGGGGCTGGGCCCAAGGGTCCACTAGGGGCAGAGAAATGGAGCTTATGAAAGTGAATTTCATGGACAAGGGCTGGGGAGCCAGATACGGGTAAAGTCCCCAGTCTTGCTCAAACTCATCTGCTGTTCCTGAGTTGCCTTGCAATGGAAAGCACACAGCTAACACTCGGATGAGACCAGGGCTTGGGCATGGCCAGCACTGGAGAGTGTGTCATTGCACCTTACTTTACACCTGAGCATAATTTTACAAAGGTGTACGTAAAAGTTGGCTTCTGTTGGAAAATGTGATAGGGAACTGGCGTTTAAATGAATCTTATGGTGATCCTTTTGTAAAGTGAAGAATCCCCTTGAATTGCTTTTATCCAAATCTGTGCAGGGCTGCTTTGGTCCTCTTGCACCAACTCACTGTTCTTGACCTTCTTATCTGCCAGCTGACCCTGCAGCTTCTTTCTGTCAAAGCCCCTTGGCAGAGCTCATCTTCCAGAGTTTATTCATGGTTTGTCCAGACCTTCTTGCTGGATGGCCTCATCACAGAGTCTTTAGAAGACTCCTCATAACCCTTAACCTCTAAATGCTGAAGGTCTCCAGGCCTGCTCCTTGGGCCTTTTCTTCTCTCTGTCCACACTCATTGTTGGGGGGCCTCACTGACTTGGGGGGTTTGTAAATAGCCTCAACATTCATGCTCTCTGATGTTTTTCTCCATCCAAGCTCCAGGCCCATTCACTGTCCACTCACCTTCTCTCCTGCGTGTGACCCCAAACTCTGATGACTCCTCCATGATCCCTCCTGCACTCCGCCCCGTAGCAGGAAATGGCAGTTCTATTCTGTGTCTTAGATTTATTTTGGCTCCTCTCTTTCGTACTGCATAGCCACTCCGTCAGGTGATTCTCCTGGCTGTACCTCAGAACACGTCCAGAACCTGACCACTTCTCTCTGCCCCAAGGTTTGCTCTTCTGACTCACTGTCCTCTCCTGCCTGGATCATGGCAGGAGCGGCCTCACCTAGCCTACCCTGCCCTCTGTTTATCATCAGCACAGGAAGGGGAGTGATTTCTTTACAGACCAGTTAGATCATGTTGGTCCTTTGCTCCAAACCCTCCAATGGTGCCAATTCCCTTTTCCCTTGGGGGAGAAGCCGAAAGCTTTGCCCTGGTTTCCAGGGCCAACATATTCTGCATCCTCCACCAACTGCAGCCATCCCCCCTCCCACCCTACCCCTTCCCATCTTGCCAGTCACTTGCAGGCACACTGGCCTTTTTGCCGATCTTTAAACATGCTAAGTACTCTCTGCATGGGAGCGAGTTCTTTTCTGGAAAGCTCTGACCCAGGTAACTGCTGCACTGCTCTGTCCCCTTATCAGGGAGGCTTTTCTGACGGCCCTAGAGTAGGGATCAGCTCCTCCTCAGCTCCACTCTGACACCTTCATCCAGCCTCATACTTCTCCTTAGACCAGATCACATCTGAAATACTGTAGATTTGCCTAGTGTCCGTGTGTCTCATTTCCCAAGGAGGGAAGCTCCATGAAGCCAAGTGCTCTGGTTTTTCGCTGCTCTGTCCTCGCTCCTAGAATCATGCCTGCCAAATAACTACTTGTCGGATGGTTCAAACAGTGTATGAGAATAAGGCAGGGCTACGGAGGGTTAGGGCTGTTAAAAACCATGTTTGACTTTTAATTTTGGAAACAAATTAAATACAGTTAAATTAAAACCGACCAGATGGTGCAGCTGCATGGGCTCTGTTCTCGGGGCTCTGAGCCCCCAGCCTCACTCCTTTGCGGTGGGGGGCAGGAACAGACTGGGTCTGGGAAACAACTTGTAGTCATGGACCCAACTCTGACTTGGAAAAAACCCATTCCCAACAAAGATGAAAGCTGCAGTCCACCAGGGTTATAATTATAAATAAATACACATGCAGCTAAGAGAGGCTATTAGGTGAAAACAACGGAAATAGCATCCGCCAAAAAAACAAAAACAGAGAGAGGGAGGATATCCCATTTTGTTGTTCATTATCAATTTCCTGAAAAATGAGCCCTGGGTTTTTGGCTAAGAAGGTGGCCTAAGACCAGCCAGGCTGACCTGAGCATTCAGGGCTGGTTTTGGTGAGTGAGGCAGTGCCGTGCCTGGGCATAAATTCACTCATTTGGGGGGTGCCCTGTGCACACCTCCTCTCTCCCCTCCCGCGCCACCCCACTTGGTTCTGAGGGGTTGATTCCAGAGCCACCATCGAAAGTGTAAGAGGCTAGGGAATGTCCTGCAAGGTGGCTCAGGGTTCTCAGGGATGCGATCCCGTGGGGCGGTTTCACGAATGCTGTGGGAAGTTAAATCCATTTCAAAATTGGCAGCCAATGCTATTTTTTGAATGTTAGGTTGCTGGACTGAATCCTACCCACCCACCCAGGAATGGGTTCTCAGCGGTCCTCAGACCGGTCCTGTGAGTCTAAACGGAGTGGGGGCTGTTAGCGTTAAAAAATAAACACGTCTTCAGTAGGCTCAGGCCTTTCCTTTTCCTCCACTTGGGAGGGAAATTGTGCTTCCAACTTTCAGGAGCATGAGTGAGAGAATCAGAAGAGGGCTGTCCCTGTCAGTGGCCTGTCCTGGTGCAGGGGCAGTCCATGCACACTGTTCTTTCTCTGTGGGGGCGGCGGGGGCAGAGGGGACAAGCAGCAGGCTTGTTCCTCGTGCTCCCAACTCAGGGACAAGGGAGGTTTTCATTCCCATTTTGTGTTTAAAATAGAATGATTTCCAAAGTAGTGTGTGCTCAGGTCTCTTTTCCCCTCAGGGTCCAAATGATCTCTGCCCCTTTTCCACAAATCCCTCTGTTAACCCAAAGCCCCATCGCCCCCAACCAGGGGCAGGAAGGAGTATGGAACTGCCCCTGCCTCCCTCCTCTTTCCACCTCGCCCACCCAGGCTCACTTCAGCCCCTGAGGTCTGTGGTTCTCAAGAGCTCTGGAAAGAGGGCTCCTGGCCTCCCCAGTCCCAGCCCAGGCAAAGGGCCCTGGGGCCCAGTGGGCAGGGGGGAGGCAGTGTGTAGACTGGGGCCTGTATGGTCTTAGTCCAGGTCAGTCCATGACCTGTGCTGGCTCAAGGGCCCACCTCCTTCTCTGTGCTGGAAGGAGCAGGCTTGAGGGATGTGTGGCCAGAGTAAGGGGCTCCACTCCTACCACAGCCTGGGGTATGGGGGAGCCTGATGGCAGGCCCAGGCTCCCCTCATGCAGGGTGGTCGCCTGTTGGGATCAAAGACA